GTATTTATTTACAGTTTAACAGTTAAAAAACAGGCCAAAACTCAGCTCAAACATAAAAAGAAAATACATATAATAAAAAAAGTAAAGATTTCTATGTTACCCAAAGTGTAAATAGTGTTTTGTATAAATGGTAATTCGGATTTTTTTGTTTATTTATTTATTTTTAATATTTGACCATAAAAATTGCATTTCTATCAGCAAATATATACCTATATACATATTTTATAATTACCCCCCGATGAATCACCACCTTATCGTGGTGGAGGGTTTGAGTGTCCCTGTGATCCTGGGAGCTATGTTGTCCGGGGCATTAGCCCTTGGTAGGGTCTCCCCAGGTAAATTGGTTCTGGGAGAGGGACCAGACAAAGAGCAATTCAGAAGACCCTGGTGAAGAACAGAAAAAGGAGAGCTGCCACCTTGCCCAGAATAGGGAAACGGGGGAACCCTCCTGGAACCAGACCTGGGGGAGGAGCTTGCCGGGAAGTGTCTGGTGGCTGAGCCGTGGGGCCCTGTGGGGCTCGGTCGGGCACAGCCCGAAGAAGTAACCGCTCCCATGGTGGCGTAGACTAGCTCTGGGGACATGGCATATCAGCTCACTGGCGGGGAAGGAGCCTGAGCTGGTGTCGGAGGTGGAGCGTTACCGGCTAGATATAGTCGGGCTCACCTCCACACACAGCAAGGGCTCCGGAACCACACTCCTGGAGAGGGGTTGGACTCTCTCCTTTTCCAGAGTTGCTCACAGTGAGAGGCGCCGGGCGGATGTGGGGATACTCACAAGCCCCCGGCTGAGTGCCGCCATGTTGGAGTTCTCCTCGGAGAGCAAGAGAGTTGCCTCTCTGCGATTGCGTGTTGCAGACTGGAAAACTCTGACTCTCGTTTGTGCTTATGTACCAAACGGCAGTTCAGAGTATCTCGCCATCTTGGAGTCACTGGGTGGTGTCCTTGAAGGGGTGCCGCCTGCGGACTCCATAGTTCTGCTGGGGGACTTCAGTGTTCACGTGGGAAATGACGGTGAAACCTGGAGGGGTATGATTAAGAGAACGGGCTGCCTGATCTGAACCCAAGTGGTGTTTTGTTTTTGGACTTCTGTGCGAGCCATGGATTGGCCATAACAAACACCATGTTCAACCATAAGGTTGCTCATAAGTGTACCTGGTACCAGAGTACCTTAGGCCAAAGGTTGATGATCAACTTCGTAGTCATATCAGCAGATCTGCGGCCGTATGTTTTGGACACTCAGGCGAAGAGAGGAGCAGAGCTGTCAACCGATCACCACCTGGTGGTGAGTTGGATCCGATGGAGGGGAAGGCTGCCGGACAGGCCTGGTAAACCCAAACGCATAGTGAGGGTGACCTGGGAATGTCTGCCAGAGGACCCTGTCCATGGGATTTTTTAATTCCCACCTGCCAAAGAGTTTCTCCTGCATCCCGGGGGAGGTTGGGGACATGCAGTCAGAGTGGTCCATGTTCAAAGCCTCCATCACAGAAGCGGCCGTTAGGAGCTGTGGCCAGAAGGTCACTGGTGCCTGTCGTGGCGGCAACCCCAAAACCCGCTGGTGGACACCAGCAATGAGGGAAGCCGTCAGGCTGAAGAAGGAGACTTTTCAGGCCTGGTTGGCTCGGGGGTCTCCTGAAGCAGCAGGCAGGTACCGGCCGGCTGAAAGGACTGCAGCTGCGGCGGTTGTGGAAGCAAAAACTTGGGTGTGGGAAGAGTTCGGGAGGCTATGGAGAAGGTCTTTCGGTCAGCCTCGAAGAAGTTCTGGCAAACCGTCCGACGCCTCAGAAACGGGAGGCAGGGATTCGCCCAGGCTGTGTACAGCTGGGGGGGAGAACTGCTGACCCAGACTGGGGATCTTGTCGAGCGGTAGAAGGAGCACTTCGAGGAACTCCTGAACCTGGTAAACATGTCCTCTGCTGAGGGGGCAGAGCCTGAAGGCCCGGGGGTTTCTTCCTCAAGCGAGGGAGTTTCAGGATCTCGGGGTTTTGTTCACGAGTGATGGAAAAATGGAGCGCGAGATGGACAGGCGGCTCGGTGCGACGTCAGCAGTAATGCGGGTGCTGTACCGGACCGTTGTGGTGAAGAGAGAGCTGAGCCACAAGGCGAAGCTCTCGATTTACCGGTCCATCTACGTACCAACCCTCACCTATGGTCACGAGCTTTGGGTCGTAACCGAAAGAACACGATCGTGGATACAAGCTGCTGAAATGAGCTTCCTCCGCAGGGTGGCTGGGCTCAGTCTTAGAGATAGGGTGAGGAGCTTGGACATCCGGAGGGAGCTCGGAGTAGAGACGCTGCTCCCGCGCAACAAAAGGAGCCAGTTGAGGTGGTTTGGACATCTGATTCTGATGCTTCCTCTGAAGGTCTTCCGAACACGTCCACCTGGGAGGAGACCCCGGGGCAGACCCAGAACCTGCTGAAGGGATTATATCTCTTGGCTGGCCTGGGAACACCTCGGGATCCCCCAGGAAGAGCTGGAAAGTGTCGCCGGTGGGAGGGAGGTCTGGAATGACCTGCTCTGCCTGCTGCCCCCACGACCCGACCCCGGACAAGAGGAAGATAATGGAAGGATGGATGGAAAATANTTTAGTTTATTTGGATTAATTCTGTCAAAAGGAGTCAAAGATACAACCAGAGGCTTGGATGTATATTTGTTACTCAACAGGTTTTGTCATTTGTTTATAAAAGACACGTGTTTCAATAATTTTCTTAAAAAATTCAGAGTTATAGGAGTAACTGGAAACTCACACATGGTCTTCATAACTATATGTAAACTTTTGTTTTCTACTGTGCGTAGCATGAGATTGATGGAGATTACAACTCACCAGCGATCTTTACATAAAGTGACGAAACAGTGGGCAGATCTGAGCCTGTCGATCCCAACCAGAGGTCAGGTTTGGCAACTCTGTCTGTTTACCTTTCTGGAATCAGCAGAAAACATCGGGGCGAACAAACAGCTCCGTGAACTTGTAGTACGAGCATCAAGGCCTTGTTGTTGTAAATATTCAACTTCAGCCGGCTGTATGTTGGATTCAGGAGGCTGATCTGCAGAACGCTGCATGTAGCCGTGCTGTAGAATAGCCTCAGCTCTTGCAGGTTAATCACGAGTCAGCACTTGTTTGGAAACAATTAAGTGAGCTGTTACATAAAAAAGAAGCCCTGGACCTGCCCTGCCTAAACATGCTTAATTTATGCTTTTAATTACATGAGTTTTTGTCCTGCAGCAGCATTAATGTCGACTTCATGTCAAATCTGCACTGTTTAACACCAGTAAACACCTTGTAGACAGGTTTAGGGATCTTTCTTTTTTATTTATTTTAACAGGTTTTATGGTATTAAAAAAAAAAGACACGGTTATTGTACAGAGTTCCCTGTTTTATAAATTCACAGAAAAAAAAAACAATTTACATGTTACCTGTGATAGAGTGGGACAATCTGGGTGGTATATTGGTATATATATATATATATATAAAATAAATGTTCATTCAGTTTTTTCCCAGTATTTGACCATAAAAATGTCAATATTTTTAAATGCAATTAATTCAGCATTTTTTTTTGTTATATTACAGATATTTATGCTTATTTTAAAAGATGCACATCAGGGATTGAACGATGCTAAATCATTTTTTACTGTTATTTTACATTTGTTGTATTTTACAGTTTTGTAAAAAATTACAAATAATTACTAGTAATATTACCGAATAACAG